CCCCAAAACCCCAAAACCCCATACAATCAAATTTTTAAAAAAATAAGTTGATACTTAATTTCAATATAAGTAAAAATTAACTCATTTCTTTCTGAGGTCATTAAAAGAGTCTAGTATAGTAGTACTTATTGCATTCTTAACCTATTCCTTCAAACTATCTCTTATCTGTAGTTGAAGGTTATTATCAGTTTTTAGTTTTTATATCTCAGCTTCATGGTCTTTGATCTTTGATCTTAGATCTGTAATGATTTTTTCATGATCTTTGCTTTCTCTAGTAATGTCATTATTCAGTTTTTCTATCTGTTACTTCTCATAGTCTTTGCTCTGCTAAATCATCTTTTCCAATTCTTTCTTTTGATCTTGTAATTTATCAATTTAACTATCTTTAGAGGACACTTCTGATTGTAATACAGCTACCTTAGACTTTAATTGAGAGTTATCTTTTTCAAGTGTAAGAATCTTGTCATGAGCAAGGTGAATTTTATCATCCTGCTTGGAAATCTAGTCTGAAAGAGTCTTAAATTTATCAATCATTTGCTTGGATTCTTATTTTATTCTTGAGTTCAATTCTTCCCTGTCTTTTGATAGCTTTTCTATAATCTGTTCTAACTATTTCAACTTGATATCCTCGTTTTTAGTCTATTTAAGTTAAAATCCTAATGAAATACCTTTTCATGATTAAAGCTCTTTTCTAGGTTATACAATTAGTTATCAAACTCTAATTTCTAATCGATCTTCTAAGCCTCCAACTAATCTACCTGCCTTTTTTAATCATCATTTTGTTCTCTCAATTACTTAACTGTATCTTCAAGATCTATTTAAATGTAAGTTCAATAAATAATTGGAGTTACTCTTTATTTTGGCTTAGTAAGACCTCTCAAATTATTTTAATTAAGCATTCTTTTCATTTTACAATTTATCAATTGTGCTTTTGTAAGTTTCATCTAGTTGTATATAGGCTCTCTTACTTTCCTGGAGCATTTCTTCATAAGTTAATTATTTTTCCTTGCTCGTAATGTCTCCTTTTTCGAAATTATCAGCCACTCTTACCAACTTCAATTATAAATTCTGCTTTTCAGATTCTAGTTAATCAATACGAGCTTGCATCTCTGACTTTTCCCTAGCAGATTAGAGTTCAAATTTAATGAATTCTTCCCTTAGTTTTTCGAAGGTTTCCTCAGTATCATTTCGTTTCTTAGTTTCTAGTTCCAGTTCTCTCGCCAGGTCTACTCTTTTCTCATTAATGAATTGTTTTTCATCATCAATATTTGCTTAAACTGAATATCTTTTTCCAGGAGACAAAACAAGAGAAGTAGGAGGTATTTGAGATGCATTGTTGAAATTAGATGAAGACTTGTATCTAGTGGGTGAAAAGTTTCCAATTGGTAAAGAGTGGAAGTTTCCTTATTTATTTCTGTTTAGAATATCATTTATCTGCCTTAGAATATCATCACTCACTTTATTACCTGCTAGTTCTAAAATCTAGATAGATCTGTTTTAATTCAGACCCTTTAGGATAGCTTTTGCACCTGAATTGCCTATCCTATTCCATCTTAGATCTATAGTGTGAAGTGTTTAATTGCTCTTCAAGCAGCTTGCTATAGAATTCCCGATTTCAGGTCCAATTTCATTATTATTAAGATCTATCTTTTAAATGGATCTGTTATCAGCAATTGAATTGAAGAAGTTAGTAAGACCATTTTCAGAGGATCCAAGCTTATTCCAAGCAAGTCCAATAGTCTTAATTTGTTGGTTAGATCTCAGCACTTAAGCTAGAGCTGTGATTCCAGCCCCTCCAATGTTATTTCCTTTCAAATCTAAATCAGTTACTGTTACATATTTATTCAAGAAATTGGCTAACAGTTGACATCCCTCATCTCCAATACAAAATTCATCTAAGTTAATGACGCTTGATTGTCTCTGAGCTTCTAATTTTATCTCTAATGTTTAAAGAGTGGAAGATAACTACTGCCTATTATTTACATAAGCTTGACGGCTACTCATTTTATGCTGATTTTTATAATTTAATTTCTTAATTTAAATTCAAACAATCTTGAAAGTAAACTGAATATGGGGTTTTGGGGTTTTGGGGTTTTGGGG